GCTGATGTCTTTCAAGAATGGTTCGAACAAATGATAGATCTTCTTCCTAAGAACTGTGTAATAGTAATGAATAATGCAAGTTATCACTCCAGACTTATAGAAGGACTGCCCACAACCAAGTGGTTAAAAAAAGACTTGCAGAATTGGCTGAGTTCAAAAAATATTACGTACCATCCCGGATCTATAAGAAAGGAACTTTATTCGTTGTGTGCCCTTCATAAAAAAAAATTTAAAAAATACAAAATTGATAAAATTACCAAAAATCGTGGAATGACAGTACTTAGATCCCCACCATATCATTGTGAATTAAACCCGATTGAACTGGTATGGGCACAGATAAAGAGTGAAGTTTCAAGAAAAAATACCACTTTTAAAATTCATGATGTTAAACAGTTGTTTTTGGAGGCCGTAAATAATGTAAAACCTGAAAACTGGGAAAAGACAGTAAATCACACTATTAAAGAAGAGGAAAAAATGTGGAAGCTGGACAATATTACTGATAAAATGATCGAGCCAGTTATTATAAATCTTGGTTCTGAAAGTTCATCTTCTGAATCTGATTTGGATTTGTAACAAGTAGCTGTAAGTTTTATATTATTATTTTTATTCATCTATTTAACATACCTTAGACGGTTTTAAAAACTCTTTTTCTCGGTGAATTTTTTAAAACCCTTTTTAATGTAGGACAGTCAGTTCTAATATAGTGTGTGATAAAAGAGGTCACTTTTGTTTACATACACGTAACACTTTATAACACTGAAATAATTTATTTATTTTTTACAATTATTCAAAGTAATTTTTCAATTAATCTTGAGCACGCCCATGGAGTGGTCGAAGGTACCAGTTAAAATTATGCTAATTACTCTCTCGTTCATAAAAATAAACTATAATAAGAGGATAAAATTACCAATTTCTACGGTTGGATTATTTTATAGACAAACTAAAAGCAGAAAAAATGTTGATGTTTATTGATATAATAACCTATTAAAGTAAAATTTTTAAATAATTTAAATATACTATTTACCTACACCTTGTCTAATAGAGTGTTCTTTGGTCAAGAAGTGCCGATATTCTATTTTTTGTTCATTCCTCTTAATCCCCCTCAGAATGACAAAAAACCAAGTAAAACCAACATACCCGAATATATAAAACGTCTTGTTCTATAAAAAAGAAGTGCCAGGCACATATGGCAAAGAAGTGGTAATCCTAGAGATAAAAATGAATACAATAAATTAACACGGCAACTTAAAACTGCCGTACAAGACGCGAGGAATGATACATTTGAACTATTCATCAACAGCCTGTCGAAAGAAGACTACAGCATCTGGAAAACAACGATTTCATTCAGGAGGCCTACACAGCATATACCATCTCTAAGGAAAGCCAATGGAAGATGGGGAAAAACAGAACAAGAAAAGAACTTCATCATTGCTGCACATCTCTCACACGTTTTTAGTGCACCTGAACTTAATAACAATAAAAACGAAGAACAAGTTCAAAACTTCTTAGAAACTTAATGCCCAATTATGTTACCAATCAAATGCTTTTTTGCAGCTAATATTTAAAAATTACCAAGAAAACCAATCGTCCTACTAACAGTGATATATAATGGTATCATAACATTAGCCTACTACTCGATTAATTGGAATTTTGCACAAATAATTATGATTAGTAAACCAAGTAAACAAAATAGAAAAATTATTTGCATCTGACAGGACTGATGATCACCTATATGGAGAAGGAGAAACAGGACCTTCAATACTTAAATCGGAGATAGAAGATGCCATTGCAGCACTAAAAAACAATAAGTCAGCGAGCCTGGACAATGTATCCTGCGAAATATTAAAGATCCTATGTAAACCAGACAGACAGTTTCTTGATAATCTAGTTGTACTTTTTAACAGCATATATAATAGGTGTAAAATCCCGCTGCAGTCAACATTTATTACAATCCCGAAGAAACCAAATGCCCAGATCTATGATGACTACCGGCTTATTAGCTTGATCAATCATGTCACTAAAGCGTTCACGAAGATCATTAATAGAAGAATATATTATGATAAATGTGAGTCAAATATTGATAGATCGCAGTTTGGTTTTTGGAAAGCACTGGGAACTAGAGAAGCAGTTTTCGCTCTCCAGGTGCTTATACAGCGTTGTAGAAGGATACGTTATAAGGACGTTATATCAACGTTGATAAGGACGTGAATTTGTGCTTTGTGGATTTTAGAAAAGCATTTGACAATGTCAATCATGAACAATTGATAGAAATTCTGCAAAAGACAGGTATTGACGACAAGGATATTCGAATTGTGGCAAACCAATGCTTGGGTCAAACAGCAAGAGCAAAAAATTGGCAAAGAACTCACTGGAAGTGTGCAGATCAAAAGAGGTGTCCGTCAAGGGTGTATCTTATCCCTACTCCTATTCAATATTTATTTCGAGGAAATATTTAAAAAATGTATGTAAAATGCAAAGGAGGGCATAAACATAAACGGCAAGTTAACGAACAATATAAGATATGCCGACGACACGGAGATCCTTGCCAGTACCATAGATGAATTACAACAGGTAATGGAAAGGGTTTATTCAGTTAGTGAGGAATACGGTCTGAGCCTCAACTTTAACAAGATAAAGTGGATGCTGATAAGCAAAAAGCAACAACCTGCTCGACAATTACGGATAAGTAATAATGGAAACAGGCCACAGAAATTAAGGCAAGAATAGAACGAGCTAGAGCAGCATCTAACAATATGAAAAAGCTGCTCATAATCAAGGATTTGTCTCTTCCCCTAAAACTACCTTTAGTTAAATGCTACGTTGGATGCTTACAGAGACGCTTACGAGAAAACTAGAAACATTTGAAATGTGGGTGTGCCGACGCATTCTTCATATATCCTGGACCGAACAAGTCACCAATACAGAGGTATTCCAAAGAATTAGAAAGGAGAAAGAAATCGTGAGCACAATAAAACAAAAAAAGCTTGAATATCTAGGCCACATATTAAGACATTGTTGTCATAATAGACAACTTAGAAGAAGCCAGAGTTATGCTACAACAACTACAGCAAGTAACCCAGAATGTCGGTTTAAAGATAAACTATGGAAAAACAAAAATGATGACCAACCTCGTCCCCAATGAGCTAATAGAAATCGAAAAGTCGCCGAAAGACTTGTGGAAAAATATGTGTATTTGGGTCACGAAATAAGGTTAACGCGAGATAACCAAACATGCGAGCTACTCAGAAGAATAAGTCTGGTTTGGGCTGCATTTGGAAAAATGAGAGACGTATTTAAAACAAATATACCGATCAATTTAAAAAGAAAAGCTTTTAACCAGTGCGTTCTACCAGTCCTCACATACGGAGCAGAAACCTTAACTCTCACAAAAACATCAGCCGAAAAATTGAGAAGAACACAACGAAAGATGGAGAGATCAATGCTTGAAATAAGCTTAAGAAATAGAATAAGAAACGAGGAAGTTCGTAGACGAACCGTAACGTAGACGAAACGTAGACGAGTGGAAGACATTATCGAACATATTACCAGGCAAAAATGGAGATGGGCAGGACATGTTGCAAGAACGAAAGACGACAGTTGGACAAAAAAATTGCTTGAGGCTGACAAGCGAAGCCGAGGAAGACCACCAACGCGATGGACCAACGACCTCAAAAGAATCATGACCAATTGGATAGCAGAGGCACAGAACAGAAGCAGATGGAAAAATCTAAATGAGGCCTATGTTCAACAATGGACAACTCAGGGCTGATTGATGATGATAATGATAATATTGAGACATGAAGTACTGTTTACTGCAATTGATTGTCCAGGGGAAAATAGATAGTAAGCGAGGGCCAGACAGGAGAAGACACTCGTGGCTCCAAAATCTGCGGAAGTGGTTCGGGCTTATATCGGTCGAACTATTCAGAAGCACAGCAAACAAGATCAGAATTGCTATGCTAATAGCCAACGTTTGCAACGGACAGGGCACTTGAAAAAGAAGAAGAAATGAGTTATTTTTTTTTGTTGAACATTTTACTTGTTGAATCTTATTTTAATGCATAGTGTGTTATATATAACACACGAAACAAAATTAAAAAATACAAAAAACTAAATAAGCAGGATTTTTTTAAATATTTTTACCGTAATCTTGAAGTCAATTTTGTATTCATAGATTTTTTTATAAAAAAAATAAAAAATCATGCAGTAAGAGCTTTCCTTGTCTTTTTAATTTTAATTTCAAGGTCAAACGAAAACAGTTTCAGTAAAATATTTCTATCGTTAACTACGATAGGAATAACTCTGGATTGCCCTGATTTGCCAACCTTAAAAATTGATAAACAACAGGGTATAAAGTATACACTCAAGTTTCGTCCCTTAAGGTGGTACAGCAACCGGTCTGAAAATTTAATCTTTCCCGAATTAGAATCAGACCGGAGCGTATCAAGACAGGCTGTTCAATATGTAGATTGTGCGCCTTACATTTCCAACTTTCATTAACACGGTTTTGAATCGCAGATTAGTGATATTAGAAACATATTTCCGATTAAATTGCAAACCAATGAATTTATGTTTTGATAAACTCGCACCGGGGGAAGTTAGTTCCGGGAGCAAAATGATAGATATGCTAGATGGGCATGAATATATTTACACTTTAAGGGAGTTCATTACACAATATTGTGTTTATCGCGTTACTTTTTGTTAACACATTGGCTGCCCAAATAGAAAGAATAAATTTTCATTTTAGGCTCCAAACTTTTTTTTATTATCAGTTTTAGTTCAATGTTCAGTTACAAAAAAAAATATTTTTTCTTGATTTATGACCGTGAATTATATTTAACTCAGGGAGCTCTAAGACCAAAATACCACTTCCAGGCCACATGCACTGTAGGTGACTCAAGCAATATACTTTACCTACCGCTACAAGTCTCAGCTTACAATTTAGTTTGAGTAAATATTTTGTTAGAGTAACAGTGCTGTCCAAATTTATTTCGTATTAGAACTACCTATTCTGTTTAGTATGGCGAAAAAATTTGATACTTACGAAAAACAACAACAATATTTGCAGAGATTGCATGAGGATGAATACTTTGATATGACTGATGAGGATGTAGATGATCCTTTCGAAGGTGACGATTCTGAAGACGATTATATACCATCTATGTCCAGCTCAGATAGTGAACAAAAAGAAATGGCTACCCAAAAATTTAAACGAAATAGTGCAGAACCATCTACTGTAGATCAAGTGATAAGTAGTGTAGTGTTGTGGGCTAGTCGTGGATCATTTAGTGATAGTCGTAAAACTGTGGAACAATCTTCAAGCCGTATCACGAAGACAACAGATCATCAATCTAGTAAATCATCTGAAAACACAGATCACGATGGCATTGAACTTTTTGTTACTTCTACCGAATTTCAAATTACATGGACTGCTGTAACGGGAAAAAATCTAAAGGTATTTGATTTCAATGCAGTACATCCTGGCATTTCACCTGAAGTTGCATCGCTATAATTTCTATGATTTCTTTAAATTTTTTCAGATGATATCATTGACTATATTGTAACTGAAACAAACAGATATGCTGAGCAGATCAAACAAAATGAAAATATTTCGTAGTATTCAAGAGACAAAAGATGGAAACCTCTAACGACTTCAGAATTTGAAATCTTCCTGGGTATAATTATGTGGATGTATTTAAATAAAAAACCTCGACTGTCCGATTATTGGTCCAAGAATATCCTGTATTTTGGGAACGACTTTGTACTATTAGTCATACCATTAACGAATAGCTGTTGGATGTGTTGTTTTTTAACGGTGTGTAAGTAAAGCTGAACTATTATTTGATAAAACGGTAAACCAATTAAAAAGGAATGTGCCTTTAAGAGGTGTAACTTTATTTTACTTGCAGAAATTGTACAAAAACAATTTTATTACTTAAGATGAAGTGCTACAAAAAAAAAGTAACTTTAGTTTTTTTCTTAGAAAAACAATGTATTAGAAGTAATAATAGAGAGCGGCAACTTGAAAACATAATATCATTGCTAACATCTTCATTTTCGTAAAATGATATTAAGAATTAGAGAGACAATTAATTATATTTTGTGTTCTATCTTTCTTTTTATTTTTTGGTTACAATTTATTACGTGTTCGAACTACTGGAATTAGATATCCTATAATAGTTTCTGGAATAATAATAATAATAATAATAATAATAACAAGGAACAAAGGAATAATATTTCATGGAACATCAAAGATGTTCCCTGAAACAGAATGTTCAATACTTGTCATTCAGGATCAGGATATAGATACCAATCAAAAATTACCTGAAATATATCGTCAAAGACCCTCAGGTCCAAAATGACAAATACCGATAATATGGATGTCAAGACCAAGAATTTATCCAACATATTACCGGGAGCTGCCAGGCATTTGCTGCAACTGAATATAAGGAACGGCATGACTTAGTGGGGAAAATACTTCATCAAGAGATAGCTTTTAAACTGGGAGTTCTACAAACAAACCATCTACCATATTATCAATACGTTCCTGAGAGTATGCTTGAGAATGACAACTACAAGCTATACTGGGATTGCACTGTGCTCACAGACCAAACTGTAGCATATAATCAACCAGATCTCGTGCTAGTTAATAAACTAACAAGACAAACAACTCTAATCGATGTGGCGATACCTAACAACAATAATCTGTCTGTTAAGTACAACGAAAAGATTACCAAGTACAGAGATCTGGAAATACAAATAAGGAGACAATGGAGAATGCAAAGTAGTCAGACGATACCTATTATTCTTTTTACCACTGGAATCATTCCGAAGAACCTCCTAGAAAACATAAAAAAGCTGGGTCTAAATGAAAATCTATATAAGATCATGCAGAAAGCTGAGCTACTTTCGACGTCCAGATGCGTGCAAAAATTTTTGGGAGATACACCGACGAACCAAGTCACCTAGGACTCGATAACATGGAAAGAGTCCCACCAGAGCTCAATTCTTTTGATACCGTAGGTATCTAAGATGAGTGAATTTTCCCCTTAGAGGGAGTGTGAGCCGCATGGCTAAAACTGTATAATCTGGAATAGTAATAATAATTTTTAAAATTTAATTGATTCGCCGGTGTATATGTTCTTAAAATTTGCTATAGATTGCTGCACGTTTTATTTGAAATGGCAAATATTATTACGCCTTGAAAGGCTTGACGCATCTTTGATACCACAGTGTAATTCTAGTTAATGCCGCTCTTGTTTTCTTATAGTTATTCCTGTTTTCGATTGCATTTTCTACCAGTCATTCATTGTATTTTGTTATGCGTTTCTTAATACTTTTCCTTATTGTCTTACAAAGTTCTATGTGTTGTATTCTTTGTATGTTGCTACTTACTTTCATTTCTCTTCTTTGTTTTAACATTATTTTATTTATATAAGACAGTTTACTATGTTTTTTTTGTTGTTGCAAGTCTATGATTTCTTTGGTACTATCAATGATAATTTTCATTAATTAAGAGCTGTCGATTTGGTCATGTATTCTTTCATCAATTGTCCTTTGGAAGTGAGTTTTCTTTTAGATTGTTATATTTATGTCGGTTACTCTTGGTTTTGTGATTAATTTTATTTTTTCTAGTTTCAGATCTAGAACAATTTTTACTTGGATTAGTCTATGGTCACTGCCTAAATTTATTACACTAATATATTTTATTGTAGCAATATTGTTGGTTAGAATGAAGTCAATTTGTTTCTTAGTTATTCCATGTGGTGCTACCACATTTCATAAGTCCATTTTCTGTTCGATTTTTTCTTAAAGAATGCATTTGGGCTAATTTTTCGTTGTTGATTTCATTTTTAAATCACTTGGAGAAAGAAAAGTAACGAACACTAACATACCAAAAAAGAAAAGACCATGGTTTAGAGAGCAAGCGAAGACACAATGTAAAAACAGAAGAAAATCTTTTTACAATATTCTTCCTTTTGATGTGCCTATCCGTTACGAATGTTGTCGATCATCATGGTAATCTTTATCTTATTTGCAGCATCTCGAAAAAAGTGCAGAGATGTTGTATTAAACCAGATTCTGAGATTTTTGTACCAATAATCTTGGACCTTTCTTTCCTGGACCTCGCTTTCCAAATATTTTTCTTTGCAGGATGGCTTGAAGAAGAGCGTATCTGGATTGATTTGGCATACTATGTCCGAAGAAATGTAACTTTCGAGATCTGATTGTGGTCCGTACCTCTCGGTTCTTATTCATTCTTCTGAGAACCTCCTCATTTGTGACTTGGTCAGTCTACAGTCTACAGGATCTTAAGTATTGTACGATATTGCCACATGTCAAATGCTTCCAGTTTTCTGCACATATCTTCGTTCAAGGTCCACGATTCAACACCATAAAAAAGGATAGAGAAGACGTAGCATCGCAGCATTCTGATTTTTTTATCAAGAGAGAGGTTGTGACTCTTGAAGAAGGCCTCCATCCGAATAAAGGTGGATCTAGCTTTTACAATATAGAACACAACAAACACAACAGGCTTACAACCACTATAAATGAATCAGAAATAAAACAAATACATTTTTTAGGAAAATAAAAAGAGAGCACTAGCAGAGCATTTCAAAACAGATGAAACACGACTTCTACGAAACATAAAAATAAATATGATAATGATCAGAGGACCAAGAAAAGGTCACGATAATGAACTGCGAACATCACAGGTGACAAAAAAACGAAAAAATTATTATTGAGGAGGAAGAGGTAAAGGAAGCATTAAGGGAATTAAAAATAGAAAATCACCTGGAGAGACCAGAATACTGAATAAACTCTGGTGCGGAAGTATCAGAGGACCAGATCTAATTAAATAACTAATAAAACTTATTCAAAAAATAATAGAACAAAACAGAATGGGGATTAAACATCCTAATACCTCTCTTCAAAAAGGAATACAAATCGTACCCGGAAAATGACAGAGGAATTAATATATTAAACACAATACTAAAATTAACAACCAAAGTAATAACAAATAAACTGAATGAATTTATAACTCTAGCAGAAGAACAAGGTTTTAGGTCGGAAGATCATGCACTGACACTATATTTATACTGAGGCAAGTGCAAGAAATACAAGAACCATCGAACGACACTGAGGTCTCAATCTGCGTACTCCTCAGTGTCGAGTGTTAGTTAGACGGTTCTTTTATTTCTACAGACCACTATACTGGTACTTCACGAGTGACGGGAGTAGGCAGATTGAGACCCCAAACTCGAACGGAACCTTATTCCTCTTGATGATGGCTGCAAAATGGGTGCTGAAACGTCGAGTATTAAATTCTCAACGCGGTTCTTCGCGAGAACTTCGTAATTTTCGACAATGAGTGGAAAAACATTTGTTAAAATCCATTTAACACTAGAACTTTACGAAGATTTATGAATAAATTGATAGTTTTCCCTCAGTTTATGGCTGTTGAATTTTTTCTAGGTTAATGTTGGGCTCTAAATGCAACCTTTAAAGTATAGTAAATTTGAATTGTACACAAAAGTCGCAATAAAAGCTTGTTGTATATTTACATATTTATTTCAAAGAAGCTGTAATAACGGTTTTATTTCACTCAATAAAACCGCAATATCTACAATTGCCCATTTCGGCCCGTTTTAATTACCCAATGCTACAATGAATTCGACCACCAACAATGTTTTTAACTGTTTGGAGAGGAAATGATGTATTATTTTAAAACCGAATTTACAAAAATAACAGATGGCGCATGTGGATATAACTTTTCCATTATAAAATTCAAATTAGCTTACCACTGCTCGAAGCTTTGGTCATATAATATATTGTTGCTTTAAATAAATATAAATATTTCGTTGTGTTTAACTTAATTTGGTTGCACACTTTGTCCAGGATGTGATATTTTAATATTAACAGTGATCCATTGAAAAAAACACTCACACAATGAATGCATAATAAATAATGTATGTAATAAATGTAAATGAATTTATCTCCTTTCGGTTACTTCTTACGTTTTGGTTATTTTGTAACAAATATAGAAGAGTAGTTTGTCAGTAATGTACAAAATTTATAAACAAGGTCGTTCAAACTGAATCTTGTTTAAGTGTTTGGTATATTGTTATTCTTGTTGTAAATCAAATGAAAATCCTGCAAAGTGAACCAAGCAGGTTGACTGCAATGGCAGGCGTATACGCCGGCTTTGTAGTTTTCGTAATTCGTCCATTATTAAGTTAAAAGGTTTGCTTGGACATATATTGGACAGAATTAAGCCAACTGATGGAGTTATTAATCTTCTCGCTTCTAGAATATTTTCATTTACTATTATCTTCTTTGTTCCTGCTGTAAATTTATCTACTAAGTTTTTAGATGATAGATATATGCATATTCTACCGTTTAATATACAAGATGCGACAATTATATTTGTTGGTTCTATATGCTGACTCAATC